CCTAGCAGCTCCTGCAGTTTTTTTTTCAATGTTGTGGCATTTTGCATTTTTAAACATTTATTTTAGCACATGCTTACCGTACATGAAGTTTACGTTCATTTTAAGGAGTAGGTACATGTACATAACACATCTTGATTCTTTTTAATCCTTTTTCTCTCCCCACCCACCTCCCTCCCTCCAACTCTAAATCTCCTGTCCTCATTTTCATTGTTATAATTATTATTATTAGTTCATGTTTAGAACATGTAATGGTTACAGTCACTGTGGATATTTGCTACATGTAAGTGACACATCTTAAATCTTTTCACTTTCCCTTCCTCTTTCCCTCCCCTGGCCCTCAGTCTCTGGGACCGTTTCCTCTTTGCAAAGATTTATCTTCCTGTTTCCTTCTATCACTCCTTTATTTTGCTCTTTGTTTGTACCCAAATGAGAGATATCATATAGTATTTAAGCTTGTGTGTCTGATTTATTTCACTTAACATTATATTTTCCAGATGTATCCATTTTCCTACAAATGTCTCAAATTATCCTTCTTTATAGCCAAGTAGTACCCTAGTATGTACAGATACCACATTTTCTTTATTTATTCATCTGTCAGTGGACCTACAGATTCTTTCTAAGATTTAAATAGTATGAATTGTGCAGCCATCAATGTGGGTATGCATGTATCACCATAATGTGTTTTAGCTGTGACTCCACAGAGAATGATTCAAGATGGCAGGAAGGATCTTCTCCACTTCTTGCATCCATCCACACAAAGCTCATTTCACTACAACTATAAAGAGTCCTTTCCTCCCTATTTTACATAAAGTTGAGGACAAAGGAGGGGACTTAATAACCTTTTCAGAAGACAATTAAGAAATGAACAGTAGCTGAGAAAAGTACATTTTAAGGGTACCTGAAGCAATCTTTCTGCCTGGCCCTCCAAAGCCATCATTATCTCTGGGTTCAGAGTCTGAAGGATATTGAGAATGAGAGGATCTGAGAATTGTGAGGCATTCAGAGAATGTCTTCTTTTGTTTAAAAGAAAATACACATATCGATTTTCTTTGAAATTGCATTTAATTGACACAGAAACAAAAGAAATAATTTAGAATTGAATCAAGTTGAGGTAAATAGTCTCAAAATATAAGACAGGTTTCCTGTCCATAATGTTAAAATTGGTAAATCTCCCTTTTAAATAGTCTCGGTGGTGACCCTGTTGTTTTCAATTTTCTCAGACCCATTGCTTTTTGTCACAAATAATATTTTGTCATTTTTACTGCTCTAAAATTAAATTCATACAAAATTTTATAATTCTAAAATAAATTTCATTATTTTCTTATACTAACAATGTAAACTATGTTTACATATACTGTTTATATAATGCCCTAACTGTAATATAAATTATTAATAAAAGGGTTTTTTCCGTATTGGGGACAGAATCCAGTCCCTTCATACTGAACTACATTCCAGCCCTTTTTTATTTTTTATTTTGAGACACAATCTTGCAAAGTCACTAAGCCTCAGCCTACCAGAGAGCTGGGATTATAGGCATGCACCACCACACTTAGTAAGGGAAATTATTTACAATAAAATAATAGGTACATCAGTGTGTGCTACAGCATAAGCTCTCACAGAGACAAAAATGATGCAGTCATATGTTGCAATAAAGCCCAGCTGATGGGCCGGGGATTTAGCTCAGTGGTTTCACCACCTGCTGCGCAAGCACAAGGACCTGAGTTTGATCCCCGGTACCAAAAAATAAAAATAAAAATAAATAAATAAATAAATTAAATAATGCCCGGCTGAAGTTATTGCTTCCAATTGTGTTGTGTTGTATTTTAATACCAAAGATGGTGTTGCTATAAACCAGGCAATTTCTCAATATAACGAGCCACTCTTGGTAAAATTATGAGAGAATCAGAATAAAGTTCTTCCTCAATATCAAAAATAGACACATTTCTGGAGATTTAAAAAAAACTTCAACCATACTTCCAAATTGAATAAAATCTAATGAACTGTCCTGATTAATACCAGTATGTTTCACTCCGTGAATATCTGGCTGATCTTTCAAATACAGAGCAAGACCTGATAATACATCTTTGTGTGCAAGGAAGCAAGGACCAAATGCTAGTGGTCCTCTCATATAATGGTGACAGCTAAAGGTGGCCTTTGAGGTTACTCTTGTCCATTTTCCTATGTGAGATCCATTTCCGTAGCAATTAAGGACAAAGAACAGGCAACTTGAAGCTTTTCTATTTATTCTATAAATACTGAAACAATATTTGACATAATGCAATGTTGCATTTCTATATTTTGGGTACTATTTCTTATAGGTCTTTTACTATAACATTGTAACTTAGAGAAGGACACAAATGCCTGGCCCCAACATATCTAAAATCTGCAAGAGATCATAATACAATCTACAGGATAAAAGATACGATTATAGCAGTAATACAAGAAAAGAAAGTTAATGAAACTCTCAAAAACAATTTCTTTAAATGTTTCACCATACATCTTTATTTTCTCACATATTTTATAGGTGTTGCACATTTTCTTAAAATGATGTTGTACAGAGGACCATAATATTGATTATGCCCAAAGCAGGCTATAAAGAGTTAACCCCACTATTGGCTTGTTTACAGAAGTGAGTCTGGCTGAAGCCTACGTGCCGAGGTCAGAGTAACTCGCAACCAGTTCCATTCCCATAACTAAAACCTTCAGACTAGAAGGACAATGTTCCAATTACAATAATGTATTTTGCCTATTCTGTTCCTAATTCGAGAATGCTTTGTCTTGTCCTTTCTGAGCCTTGTTTTACATTAATTTCCATAGAAACCACACATCACCTTTACCTCAATTGATTGCCAATCAGTCAGTGCCTGGGACTGGCCAGGGCCTTTGTCAGTTGCACCGGCATTGATCGTCTTGGCTCCTCGCTTTCTCTCTCCTAGTTCTATCTCTTAGTGTATCTTTTTTGCTCAGGCCTGCATCACACACTTGGCAGTGTATTGGAACCCGACTACAGGGGTCTCCACCAATGTTGGGTCTTAATACTTACCTTACAAATTTATGGGCTTAAGTGAGAAAAAAGCCTAAGAAAATGAACGGGAAAGAAAGACAATTAAAAAAATAAAATAAACATAACTTGAAATAGAAAAAAGACAGAAAATTTGAAGCAGGAAAAAAATTGAGTAACAAGTCACATTGGCAGTTGTCGCTACTTTATCTTCTTCAGAATTAGCAACTTTACTGATCAGAGAAACTCATAGGAGTACAGCCTTCTCCTCTGAAGAATCCATGGAATGATAACAAATTAAGAAAGACCTTTAAATCACAGACATACTTGCTGAGGAAAAATATTCTTAATCTATTTGGTTCTTTTATTTATATTGCTCACTTCTTCTGGCTTTCTGGAGCATTAAATATGAAATGGGATCAGTTCTTTGGAAAGTTCTAAGATTATGAAATTTTTAGGGCAATAGAAATATGGGCAGGAGCGGAAAAAAAACCAAAAGGCAAAATCACACAAGCCTGTGTATCAATCTAGCCATTATTAGACATTCTTTTTTTTTCCATTTAGTTTATTGGTACATTTTAGGTATACAATACAGTTACATTCATCACTGGGATCTTGTACCATTACAGGAGTATCTTGGTTCTTATTTTTTCCCTTTCCCCTGCCCTCCCTTCACCCCCTCCACCCTTCACTATTTACAAAGACTTTGTTTCCATGTTTTTCTTTTTCTCATATTTTTTCTTTTTCCTTCTTTCCTTTCCCCTTCCCCTTCCACTTCCCCTATTCCTTTAGACATTTTCTTCCTAGACATTCTTGAAGTAAAATCAATTTAATATGCTACATGTTATGTTATTAATAAAATTGCAAAACGTTGCTCAGAATTTGAAAACCCCAATTTATTTCATAGTTTAAAGGCTTACAACTTCATTACTTTCAAGTACATCGATCCATCCATTCCTCATATAGTCAGAAAATCTTTCTGATGAAGCTTCATCTCATAAAGTCTAAATTAATTCTTACTTTGGATATTTCTCCTAAGTTCTTTTGTTAAGAATGTAGCTGTCATTTACTTTTAAAAAGCATATCTTTAAGACTGGAATGGAACTCTAAAGATTTTAGAACAAATTTTCTTTGTCAAACTTTTATTTTTCAAAGAAAATCTAAGTTAACTTTAGTCCAGGATATTAAAAAAGAGAAAAGGAAAAAAATTAATCACCTTCTTTGGAAATTTATTTTAATTCCCAGCAGCACATTCGTCAGAAATATCCTCAAAGTTACAGTTTCATAATTATTGAGATATGTTTAGTAAACCTATGAATAATTTTTGGAGAAACAGTGAAATTGATGATGTTGAGCAGTTGATCTTCAGGTCCTTAAGCTTGACCTTTCAAAAGATATATCTAGAAAATCTTGTTATAGCACAAGTCCATGGATTGAGTTTCTCTTCATTTTTAGATACTCTAATTCTCATGAAAGTTATAATAATCTAGAAATAATCTATAATAATCTAGGAAAGTGTCTTATTATTCTCTCCCTTGATCTGTTTTTGTTTTATTTTGCTTTGTTTTTCCATGGTATGAGTGAAACAGGGCATCTTTTCTGGTAAGTCAACTAGAGTTTGTGTCTTTGGATCTGGATTATGACTAGGACTAACCTGCATAAGGCAAAGTGGAGTAACAGAACTAGACAGCTGAGTCCAATGGGAAGCCTAACAAAAGACCATAGTTCAAAGTACAAAATCGAGAGCTAAGAAAACTATAGCACCATTAGATCAAAATTGCCTAGATGGACCAAGCAGACATTGTATATTGGGAAACAATGTCACTGATCTATGAATGGCATCTTTCAGAGTCCACAAAGATCAAATTAAGATTGGGAGGATTGCTCTGACATTGTAGTCTTTCTGTTCAGCTGGATGAAAGCATGGCTTTGATCAAGTGATGAAATATCATTCTTACCTTCCCTCCCCAGTTTCCCTCCCAATGTAAAAAAAAGCAGTACTGCAGTACACGGCTAATGGCACAACAGGCAATTCCACAGGTCAATTATTTTCTGCTTAAACCAATGGCTTCCCCCCAAAACAAAGAGCAGCAAATCACAGCAGCTAATTGCAGTTACGCTCAAGAAGATCTCATTGTAAAATGCGAAGTTGTTGTTACAGTCCTTGGATTGAGCCACAACACGTAAGTAATAGATCCTGAAGAACTGGTAGGGGAGAAAGCATGTAAGGATGATACCTATGAAAAATAGGTTCTTCAATTGAGCCCAGAACTCCTGGTGGGAGAGGAAGGAGTGGCGGAGCTTCCTCATCATCAACATAATGATGAAGATCTGAAGGACCAAGAGCATCACCGCGGTGGCTATGACGAGGATGACTATCATGTAGTTGATGACTTGCACATACACATACACAAGTTCTTTGTGGAACTTAAAGCAGTGCTTGTCATCATAATCCCCCTTATTTCCATAATGAGAAAAGACCACAGGCACAACAATGACAATCACCAACAGCCACATGCCAGCACTGGCTGCAACAGCATGCAGTTTCCTGTAGAATTCCACTTTGTCTTTGCGCTTGAAGAAGATGAGGTACCGGATGACCAGAATGACCACGTAGAAGAGGAAGGTAAGATACATGTGGATGTGCAACATGGCACTCACAAGTCTGCAGAAGGGCAGGCCAAATGTCCATGTCTCCTGGATGAGGTAGGACAAGCGGAAAGGCACAGTCAGCAGGAACACCCCATGGACCACCACCAAGTTAACAACAGCTGTGGTGGTCACAGATCGAGTGTTCATCTTCACGAGCAAGAACAGAATGGAGATGACCCCCACCAGTCCCCCAGTGAGCACAATGAAGTAGAGCCTGGTTAGATGGGGTGTCAGGATAGGGTCACAGGTGGAATTCCAGGAAGCATTGTAGCCAGCCATCCTTCAGACATTGCCTGGAAGACCAGAAGCACCAGTGTACCCAGCAAGCTTCCACACTTGTTTAGAGCTCCCTCAAGGTACTGGCATGTGGCTTCATAATTACACGTTCACGTGACGTCAACAGTGTGTGCTTTGAACAAGATGATTATAACCATGTGTGGTGGCACATGCTGTAATCCCAGCACTCCAAGAGGATAAAGCAGGAGGATCCCAAGTTTGAGGCCAGCCTGGACAATTTAGCAACTTAGAGAGACTCTGTCTCAAAATAAAAAAGGGATGTAGCTTAGTTGAAAGGCTCTGGGTTCAATCCCCAGTACCCCCTGCCCCCCCACACACAAATGGAGGTATTTCCTTTGTCTGTTTCTATACCCCTAGACCTAAAACACAGTAAGTCCTCGTGTTAGTCCATTTTCTTTTGATATTTACGAAATATCACAGACTGGAGAACTTTATAAAGAAAGGTTTACGCTGGCTCACAGTTCTGAAAGGCCAAGGGCAAGGTGACACACTTGATGGTGGCCTTCCTGCTGGCAGAATCACAAATGACTGCGCATCGCATGGCAAGAGGCCAGGAGGGCCTATGGGGTCAATATTTTATTCTGGTCACTCTCCTTTTTTAAAGCCAGACTCAGTCATAAGGATTCTACCCTAAGGACTACCTAATCCTAATCCCCTCCTAAAGACTCCACCTTAAGCACTACAATGGGACTACATTTCTATCCTCTCAGTACTTCACTATGCAGATTGAATTTCAACACATGAAACCTTACCCAACATATACTCAAACCTTATCCAATCCATAGCACCCACTGATTTGTAACCTTTAATAGGAATAAAAACCTACTATTAATCTCTAAAAAAGCAATTTGCACAAATCTTCAGAGTATCAGGGACCATCTGAAGCTGAAACATGAGTACTAGTTCTACAGTATCTACTGGAAAACATTGTAAGATGGATGGAAAGATGAATGGATGGATGAAGTGATGCAAAATACTTTCTTAGGCATGATCTCATTCTCCATGTTTTTCTAACTCATTAGCAAATGACCCAAGAATATTCACACTTCATTAATATAGGATTCTGGTTAATTCTGTCAAATCTCAGTGAAATTAAGGCAGCAGCAAACAACAGAAAGGTTTATCTGAACTTCTCATTATAGTTATAGTTTCATCAAAAATGAAGGCCTTGGCTAAGCTCCTCCAAGATCCCCACTAAAAATATGGCAGGTCTCCCAATTTTCCTCTCCCTTACCTTCTAATGCTTTGAAAAGTCATTTCTCCTCTGGACTCCTGAAATGTCCACTTCACAAATAATCAGTCTCTCATACTTCATATTCTAATTCATTATGTATTATTAAAGATTCACAAATCTTTTAACTTCACTAAATAAACTATGTCACACTTCCTATTCAAATCCCTTCAATGGCTTCTGATCTCTTTTAAGATAAAGACCAATGACCCTCACAGGACTAGTGTGGTCTGGGTTACAGTGGAAAAGTCTCATCATCTTTCCTGGTGTCCTCAGGAGGTGTGATGAAAAATACAGTGAATGCTGCTGCTGCATGCCATCCAATGGAAAGGCAGGCTCATAAAAACATGACAGTGTGACCTCATCCACCTTATTCACTGGATCTGGCCCAATGTGACTTCTAACCCTTTCCCAAAGTCAAAATGACCATGAAAGGTAAACGTTATGAATCGATTCAGGACATCAAGGCAGCCACGACACAAAAGAGGACTTCCAGAACTGCTTCAGAAAGTGGCAAGCAGGATGGGGCAAGTGTGTTCCAAGTAAGAGGGAGTATTTGAGAAGGATTAATAGCAAGGTGTCTTTTACTGTAATAATTTTTAAAGTTTTAAAATATTCACTGTATTTCTATCAAAATACACATATAACAGTGCCTTTTAATGTAATATTTTTAAATTTAAAAAAAATTCACTGTATTTATATCAGAGCAGACACATAGCACATACATGCACACATATAATACAAACCAGACACACAGATATATCTGTAGTAATAAAATCTCAAGAGGGGAGAGACAATTAAGGAAAACTACCTAAAAATGCTTTTGAGGGGGATAGAAATGTATAAAAAGTTGAAAACCACTGCTAACTAGAAGATTCCAACCACAAAAACTATATTTTATGATTTCTTTCTCTAGAAAGGGCAAAACTAACCTGAGAGAGAGCAGATCTGTGCAGCCAGGACCCAAGTTGTGGGAGAAAGGACTGGCTTCAAAGGGCTATGTAGAAACTCTGGAGTGATGGAAACATTTTATGTCATTCAGCTACTATTGTGGTTATTTGTCAAAGCCCATCAAACTAGTGAATTTCCTTGGAGATACTTATACAATAAAAGCTTTTTCATAAATAATAATGGGGATCAGAGATGTATCTCAGTGGTAGAGCACCTGCCCAACATGCAGGAGGCCCTGAGTTCCACCCCCAGCACCATAAATTTAATAATAACAAGAACCTAATCCTAGAAAACCTCTGCTTTTATGAACATGGAATACAATTTACAAAAATTGCTACCCATGTAACTATTTTCTTATGGATTCTACAATGGTTTGCCTCATGTTACACTTGCTCTATATGATGTATAATCTCACTACTTACCTTTTAATTTTCTTGTAGAAAAGTAGTTCCATCAAGTGGAAATTGTCTTGTGATCACATCTGAGTCTCAAATGGATATGTCATGACTTCCACTCACTATGTCCTTTGGCTATTGGCCTAGTACAACTGGCTTCTGAAAAAAGAAGTAAAACCAATAGCATATTCCTTGTCTTACGTTTTTGTTGTTTATTACAAACTGACACAGTCTCTGTCTTTCAGATATCAGAAACATATGTCAATGCTATGTTCCAGGGCTCTATTACATGCTTGACTGTACATTGTCTTATTTAATTTAATCCTTATGAGAATCCTATGGATTATGTAAGGTATTATTTCATTGAATTTTAGATATGAAACTGAGCCCTAGACAGAATAAGGCAGTTGGCGAAGGTTTCCAATTTAATACACACACACACACACACACATTGACCTCCTTATTGTGCATCATGGAGAATCACTGTGACTCTCCTAAGACCATATTTCTACATCATCAGCAGAAAGGAGACCATGAATTTGTGTGTGTGTTTTGCTGGAGATCCAACACAGGGCCTTGCACATGTTAGGCAAGTGCTCTGTCGCTAAGCTATCTTCCTACCCCTTTCCCAGTACATCCTGAAAGCTGCTCTTCCCTCTTTTTGAACTTCTTACTTTCCCATCCACTCGACTTGGTTTACGGTGGATTGTACAGGTTAGCTCACTCAATGTCCATTCTTATCTTTTCTGTTCTTCTGTGATAGTTTTTTTGCAGCTTTAGTGCTTGTGTATGACTTGATTTCTGCTTTTCTATTACACTACTGCAAAACCTGGAGGTAAGAACTCAGCCAAATGAGAAATGTCAGTGTACACAGAGATTTGAACACTTGGTAAGCCAGGAATGAAAATTTCTATTTGTTCTGGGACAGTTCTGTTAGAATTCTCATACTCAGTCCAAAGTAATTTGAATTTCAAATATCAAGATAATTTATCAAACACAACTTCAGCCAGAAATAAAATCAAAAGCAAATGATATACAAATTAAAAGACAAAAGTTGTTGCATAATTAAATAAATAGGATCAACTATATGGTATGTCCAAAATATGCATTTTAGATATAAGAATCATAATAAAAATGATACATTCATTATGAAATGTATGAATTCTTTGTCATTCCTAATACTGATTCTTTTTTAAGATCTACTTTATCTGACACACTTGAGCCTTTTTTGTGTTCATACTTCCCATTTTTTCTAACCTTTTCCTTGCAGCCTTTGTGACCGTTACTTTTCAAATGTGTATTTTGTAAACAAAAATAACTCTTGTCTTATAATGCTACAAATTCAGAGCATTTCCACTCCATCATTCCGCTATTTTACTGTTTCATGCATTTTAATTCTGCCTTTACCTTAAACCCCATACATTATTATTATTTTATTATGCAGTTAATATTTAATTAACTCTTTAATTTCTTCCTGTATATCTATGTTTATATCCAGGAAAACTTTTCCTCTGCTGAAGAACTCAATTTACTATTTCTTTTAGTACAAGTTTCTGGGTTTTATCATCTCGTGTGTTTGAAATTATCTTCATTTTATCTTAACTTTTAGAATATAAAAACTATTGTTACTGCTTCTATTAATATTGTGTTTCCTGGCGCGCCGCTCAAGGCCGATAGCGCAGCGCAGGCGCACGGCTCTTCCACCGCCATCTCCGTGCACAGCGCTCCGCCGACCTTCTTCCCCCAACAGAGGTCCCAAAGCGAAAAACAGACCTATTTGGAAGAAATGTATTTAGAAGACACCACCTGCTTCGGTCCAAAGGAAGAAAGAGAAAGTGAACAAACATCTTTCAGCGATCAAAATCCCAGGCAAGACCAGAAAGGGGGCTTTCGCAGCTCCTTCCACAAGCTCTTTAAAAAGAAGTCCAGTGGATCAAAATACAGGGGAAAAACTAATGAGAATCCCTCAATGGATCCTTCACCCACAGAACAAGATTTCTTCAGAAACCGACTTGCTCTTGCAAATGACCTTGACCAAGGAACAGCTGTGTAAAACATACTTAAAGTTGTATTTTCAAGTGGTAAGCTGAGGATGAAAAGCTTGTATATATCTGTGTAGGAATATATGTATTGATGTATAAATCCCCGAGGAAAACTAATATAAATACATATAAAACTAAATCAACATACAAGACATTTGAAGAGATGATTAGTCTATGGTTAAGATCTGACTTTTTGAACTTCAACACTTGGGAAAAGGGAAATGAAGACTTTTCACATCATTATAGAAAAGTACAATAAATTTGGAGGAAAAATAAATGTTTATAAGAACAAAATAATAATAATAATAATAATAATATTGTGTTCTCTTTTGTTTTAGCTTTTTTAAAAAGTATCTGCTTTGTGTTTGGTTAGTTTTATACCTTTTTCAAA